CAGGTAGGGAGGGTCAGTGATGCTTCATGCGGGCACGTGGGGTAAAGAAGCAGGAGCCATGCAAGGAGGCATCCTTCCAGAGGGAGGTCCTTCCACTGACTGTCCTGGTCACAGCTGCCTCTCTTGGACTGAAGATGATGTTGAGCTCGGCTTTAAGTGTGTCCCACAGAGAATTAGACTCACGAGACTTGAAGAAAGGCAGAAGATGCGTATTTCAGGACCAGGATGGACCAGTGCTCCGTGAGTGGGCACCGAGAGTAAGTGTGTCCCACCACCACCCAAAGACCAGGTGCAGAGAAAGGGCCTCTCCTCTGCTAAACAGGAGGGATTTCCCAAAGAAGAGATGCAGATTAGAAGGGTTTTCAGGCTTTCTGTTGTACCTATGAACGTAACAAAATAACAGACCTGAATATTTAACATACTTTTATCCTAGGTATTTTAGAATGTTCAGGCTGCTGTAATAAAACAGCATGGGCTGGGTGGCTTACGAATAACAGGTATTTCCTTCCCACAGTTCTGGAGGCTGGAAGTCCAGGATCACGGTGCCAGCACGGCCGTGTTCTGGGGAGGGGTCTCTTCTGGGTTGCAGACTCTGCACACGTCCTCGCACGGCGGGATGGGGAAGGGCTGGTCCCCCTCATGAGGGTGCCGCCCCCGGGCCTTAAGCACATCCCAGAGGCCCCAGCTTCCTATAGCATCACATTGGGCACCAGGAGTTCAAGTATGAATTTTTTTGGGGGGAGGGGCGGCGCACACACTGGGACCATAGCACTGGGCTATGGAAAGGAGGCCGGCATGGAGAGCTACGCCAAGACTTATGAATCACGTGGTCGTAAGGGGCATCGCATGCTTCTGAACTTGGCGGAGTGTTCAGAACGCACGGGAGCTTTCGCAGTCCGCGCGGTGACGGAGCAGACGCTCAGCAGGGTGGAGGACCGATGAGGAGGCCTGGCTAGCCCAGTGCACCTGCAGCCACTCTGCACGTGTCCTCCTCTGCCTCAAACGTGGGTGCCCTGACGGGTACTTACTCCATTACTTGACTTTTCAGTCTCTTCCCTTCTGTTATTCATTGAAGACTTTCCCTGTTTTCTAGGGGATCATTCCAGGATCGTCCTGTAACTTTCCCAGTGCCCCTTCCTCACGGCCCAGTCTCCCTCAGCCAGTTTCCCGTTCCATGTGTGACTCCATCGTTGTAGAGAAACCAACAGGTGTGAAGGGGCCGGGGTCTGGACCTGGGTTTTACACCCAGCATGTGCCTTGCCATGCGGTTGCCCTCTGTGTGCGGTTCCCTCTTTGATTCTTGTACCCTCATCTACACCCCGAAGATTCTAAACGTGGTGCCTCCAGCACAGGGCAGGCCTTCCACAGATGATGGCCTTAAGGTTTCTGCTGGTCTTTGTAGAAAAGCAATGACAACGCTGACAACAACCCGACTTACATTGTCACAGACACTAATAATTATCCACAGCAAACTCGGCCAGCACAGAACCGACAGAATTTATCTTTCATTTGATTGTTTAGAAACAGCCTTTAAGTCCACCATAACTTAATTGGTAATTTAAGCATTTAAATTGTAATCAAGAGTGGTCTTTTGAACTTCATACTAAGCATGTGTTACATTCTCACAAATACAACTTGTGCATCGGGGTATTGATTTTCGAGGGGACCCTCCCTAAATCCAACCTTTTAGAAGCCAATGCGATTTTTGTGAACAAGGAGAACAAAACAACTGAAATCCTCTCCCAGAGAGTGCTCCCTCCTCTCCCTCTTCTTTTGTAAAAGGCGCTGAGCGAGGTCAGGAGCCTGGGGCCGGGCAGGCCGCGCGGTGGGTCTCGGCGGCAGCTGGCTCGGCCCGGCCCCGGGAGACCTGCTCAAGGTCAGCCGAGCCGGCTTCGAGGAGCCACCGCTGAAGGGACTGATGTTACCTGAGCTCTGAGTCACTCGCTTGGCAAAGAGCTGACCTGGGAAAAGGCAGGAGTCTGAGATGCTGGCGTGGACGGCAGAGAGCCACGGACAGAGAGTGGATCGCTCGCTGAGCAAGCCCAGCTTTAGGGAGACACCGAGATGGGAGGAAGGGTGTCTGGGGAAAACTCGCACGTATGTTTGTTCGTGACCACGTGACACACACACACCTGCAGAGGCTGCTCGTGCTCCGGGCAACCTCAGGTCCCCAGCTCACACTTGAAAAGAACAGAACTCCCTCCCAGAGACGTTCCGAAAAAGGCAGCCTCCCGAGAGAAGCTGACTTTATCAATTACGTAGGTTTGATTAAGATAACAAGCAACTACAAACAAGGGGAACATTGTAACTTTCTTCCTGAAATCACCATCATGTGAATAACAGAGACTCGTGGTTGTGTGCTGTGTTCCTTGAAAGGCGACTTCCATAAACGTTACACAGGAGGATTCAGGTTTGGGTTGAAAAGCCTCAAAAGTTTGACTAAAATAACATTTACAAGGTCATTTTATGCCTTCATTTTCTATTTTATTTTCCTTAAAGAAAGGACCACTTTACTTTCTTATTTTTTTAAAACCATATATATAAACATATATAACCACATGTACATATATGTATATTTGGTTATGTATGTTTTTTTTTAACTACTTATTTATTTATTTGTTTAATGAAGGAACTGGGGATTGAACCTGGGACCTCCTGCATGCAAACAACACGCTCTACCACTGGGCTATATCCACCACCCCAAGAAGGTAGCACTTTTAAAAAAGATCTACCTTGTACTCTAAAATCATAATAATCTTAAATGCATGTATTCAAGAGTTAAGAAAAAAATTAATAACAATAATAAATATTCTTCATAAGGTGACTTACCTGTAATTTATAAACTCAGAAGAGAACAAAGTTTTAATGAACGTGAAATGTGAAAATAGCTTAAAACAATTGCAAACATTTGGATAATAACACAAAAACTATGCCTTTCACCACAATCTTTAGAGCACTCTTTTAGTTTCTACCTTATTTGCGGGAAAGCTGATATAAAAACAATGTAACACGACTCGCACACAATGACCTGGTGTTGCCTGAGACTCAGAATACAGGGGCCGAGACTCAGAGTCCACACGCAGATGACACTGTGGTCGTGAGTGTCATCCTGAGTCAGTCTGATCTTCCTGATGCAGGACCTGGCTGAGTAACAATACAACAAAGCTCAAGTCGACACTGCCTGGGAAGGGGACTCACTCTCCTCTCCAGAGAGGCGGTCTGGGAGGGGAAGGGAGGGGCCCCACTTCTCCATGGGACCCTGGAGCAGCAGCACGTCCTGTCGCTGTGTCAGGTGACCGTCCCCCAATCCTTCCTAGCTTGTTCTTACTCTTATCTGGCCACTGGGAAGTGAGGCTGAGACAGGTAAGGTCCATTCAGCGTTGGTGAGCAGTGGAGCTGAGGCTACACCCACGTCTACTCAAAGCCCCCGTTCTCTCTGGCCACTAGGGCTGCCAACTCACCTGCCGGGAGGAGCCAGCGGGGTGGGCATGGCTGGGGGAGACAGGACAGGTGCTGGGGATCCAGAGCGAGACCCGGGGGCCCCTGGGGGCTTACCCTGCTTTTACCACTTGCATCTCGTGTTCCAGAAACCACCCCCCCCCGTGAGCAAACTGGGATGAGTGGCCGCCCAGAACGAGCAGCGTGGGGGGGGGGCACGCCCTGACGGGAGCACTCCCCATGAAATCCACCTGTGCACAGGTGCGATTCTACAAACTCGCGACTGGGGACGGGAGATGCTGAGTTCCTGCCAGCCAGTAGGAGCCCAAGGCTTTCCCATCAGAACCTCTTACATGGGGGATAAGCTAACGTGATGATGAGGTTGGTGGGTTTCAGGCCGTATCACTGACACATGTTGCTGGCTTTTTCTTTAATCTCTCCCTCTGCACAGATTGCAGAATTTCACCTGGCACAGGCTGATTCTTACTTGTCAGCTTACATTAGATGCTGAGGTCCCTGGAGAGCAGTGTCATCTACCTAAAAAAGTCCTGCCTCGTGCAAAGGTGGACAACCACCAAGGGTGTGGCATGCTCTACAGGTGATGGTGCATTACATATGGGCGCCGGAAAGGGGGCTCGAGGAAGACCGTCAATCAAATCAAAGCACGTGGTCACTCGGGAATATGGGTGCGGAGGGTAAGTCTCAGTGACCTCCCGGGGGCTGCTCTTCACCACTCGGGGCCTCGCAGACGTGAGTTCACTGGGGGGCTGTCTCTCAGTTTCCTAGACATCCCCAACCTCCTTATTTGGGGACACGGAGCTCTCAGCCCCTCTGACAAAGGGGAGGAACCATCTGGACCTTGACCACTTCCTCAGCTTCTTCGTGGGAAGACGGGCCTGGCTGTGGGATGTGTCCCGGCTCGGCACCAGGAAGGAATCCGGGAGTGGCGCGGCCAGGGACAAAAATCCCCTGCACTGTCCTCCGTGGACACGCACGTTCCCACGTCTGCAGGCTGCCCTCCGACACCTGCCCCTCCCCCTCGGGCTGTTCCCTGGCTGGCATTTCGGTTCTGTCCCCTTGACGCAGCCTCTCTTGGGAGGCCATCCTGCAAAGATCTCTGTGCCCCAAATTCGCAGCGCACTTGCTGCTGGCCACACACCACTAGGCCTGCCAGAAACCACCATCTCGCTCCCCAACCAGACAGTGTACTCTGAGCTGGAGTGTAGAGATATTCATTTTTTAAAAAACATTGGCTTCAAATCCATGTCCTTCTAAACACCAGGGAGATTACTAGTAAATACTACACAGCCCTTAAAAACCGTAACTACTAGTAAACATGTAGTGACAGTCCACAGAAGCCCCTGGCGGAGGAACCATCATTACTGCTACTCTGGTCCTGCGGGACTTCAACAGTAGGAAGGGAGGGCTCTCCTTTTTTTTTTGGCCGGATAGCAAACTATCTGAAGCCTCCGCCCCTGTTCTTAATGCAGTAATGACACAGGCTTTCGGAGCGAATCAGTACCTCTTGCTCAGAATGGATCAAAGCAAAGCAAAACACTCACTTGAAAGAGGGACGAGTGGTTTAGGGACTGCAGGCAGAAGTCACAGGGAATCTGTCCTCTCTTAAAGTACCCTCTGTTGCAGGCAATGCCTAAAAATAGAAGGAAAAAAAAAGATTGTAATAGAGCTTTTATTTGACAAACACAGGCAGGCCATTCAACATATACAGCAACGGAAAATGGTAACTCTTTAAAAAATTGGCCAATAAATTAGAAAAACAGATCACAAACATGTAAGTAAACCAACATGTGTTAGTTTTCGCATACGTATTTCATTTAGATGCGAAGTGTTTTGCTCACCACGACTCTTTTCTTAAGGAGACATTTAACCAGAGATAGGAATTATGTCGACAGAAATATATAAACACCAAGTTGTGGGAAGTCACACAAATCTGAGCTGACAGCATGTCATTGCATTTCCGGAGTCGGAGCCTCCGGGGTAGGGGTGTGATGGGGGTGTGTGACAATGGGGGTGTGACGGGGGTGGGGGGGTGAGCATCTCACAGGGCCTTAGGGCCCATCCAGAAGAGGGCCCCTCAGGGCACGGGCTCGGCTCAGACCACCCAGCTGGCTGGGCCAGAGCTCCTGACTGCCCCGGGGCACTGCCCCACTGCCACGCCTGTGGTCCTTCCATCACTCTCTGGCTCATTCATCCATTGTCTAGGGCCGACTGAGTACTTCCCGTGGACAAGTTCTGTTCTGGGCTCTGTGGGTAAGACCTAATCTCCGAGCTCGGAGTTCACATTCCAGAGAGGGGGCACTAAATGCCAGCAATGCTGTCTCAGACTGTCCCACTCAAATGGCAGCTGGGGATATCTGAGCAACCCCCTGAAGGCAGTGAGGGAACAAGCCCTGGGCCTCACTGGGGGCAGCCGGGGCCGGAGCAGAAGGGCACAGGAGGCCGGTGCGGCCGGAGCAGGGGGTGCGGGGGGATGCAGGAGGGCGGCTGAGTCTGTGGCCACAGATGAACCCGCCAATAGAAAGCAGAAGACGGGAGGCTGAGGAAGGGCAGAGCCTTGGAGAATCACGACTCAGAAGTGGGTAGAAAAGGAGGCAGGAGGAGACAGTCAGAGGCGGGGGGCCGGCAGGGTCGGGACTGCAGGATCCGCAGTCAGCTCTGAGCAGAACGCTTCCGACCCAGCGGGGCGGGGCGGGGTGAGGACAGAGGGGAGAAACGCAAAGGCTGCCCTTCTGACCGGCTGTGCAAAAGTACGTCTGCAAGCCTGAGAGGGCAGAACACATGAGAATCAGGAAGCGCTCTGACTGCAGGTCCCAAAGTATCAGAGCTGTGGGGCTGGCTCTGCTTCCAAGTAGACACTTCACTGGTGGCAAGATCTCACGCAAGTGTAAGACCCTTAACGCGGACTCCCCCTCCAAATCCAGCAAGATTTAACATGTCTAGAGTCAATCAAATATATGAGGGGGGCAGAAGGCCTTAATCACAGCAAGGTGACATCCAAGTGCTACATTCCAAGCCCAGGTTTTACAAGCTTGTCTTTAATGAGCGTGTACAAAATAAACGACTTAAATAAATAAAAGAGCCTATTAAATAAATAAAGGAGTCAACAGGCATCAGCAACAAATGATAATTCCTGGCAGTGAAGCAGTTCCAAAAGCCAACCCTAAATTACTCAAGAGCACAACGGTAATGAAGGTATTTTGTGATTCCTTCAAGATTCATTTTTAAATTAGCAGATACATTAAAATTTTTTTCTAAATTCCATGTCATATAAATCTATTAAAATAAAAATACTTCTATGCAACAATCTACTGCGTATTCTGAAAGGGTTAGTAGCAGGAAGAAAAGACATGACAGTTTATACTTTTGACACTTATTACAGATCACAAATAAGACGGCAAGGGCAACTGAAAGTCAATATAACATAAGGACCAGGTCTGTGGTCCACACTGACTCCTACTTGACATTAAGAGTAATGCATGTGGGATGACTAGATAAAGCTGTGCTGTGTATACACAATGGAATACTACTCAGCCATAAAAAAGAATGAAATAATGCCACTGCAGCAACATGGATGGACCTGGAGATCATCACACTAAGTGAAGTAAGTCAGACAGAGAAAGGAAAATATCATATGATATCACTTATACATGGCATCTAAAAAAAAAAGATACAAATGAACTTATTTACAAAACAGAAACAAACAAAAAACCCCAAACAAAACAGAAACAGACTCACAGACATAGATAACAAACTTAACGGTTCCCTAAAAGGAAAGACAGGGGGATAAATTAGGAGCTTGGGATTAACAGATGCACACTACTATATACATCAGATAGATAAACAACAAGGGCCTACTGTAGAGCACAAGGAATATATTCAATATCTTGTAATAACCTATAATGGAAAAGACTCTGAAAAAGAACACATATGTATAACTGAATCACTTTGCTATACACCTGAGACTGACACAACATTGTAAATCAACTGCACTTCAATGAAAAAGAAAGAGAGTGGTGCATGTGGTGCAAGGTGGGTGGGGATCAGAAAGCTGTGGATCGAGCAGTACTGCCTTCCTCCTGAAGCCTTCCCATCGCCCCTCCAAAGAACTGGGCAGCCCTCCTCAGTAGCCCAGTTTAGGTGCCTCCCTTCTGCCCCCCGCACCGCTGTGATGACTGCTTCCTGCAGGGAGGGCCATGCCTTCTTTCTTTCTTAGCACAGAACCTAGCACAAGGGCGATGCCCATAATTATAAAATCAAATAATGAAGGAAAAACTAAACACACTTAGACGAGGCCTCATGTCTCTTCATTTTTCCAACCCAGGCAGGTCTGGGAGGGTCAACCTCGAAACACTTACCAGTTGCCAATCACAGACCACCCTCAGTTCTTCCAATATCAGAGACACCCAGATGAGCAGCCAGAATGCCACCCACAGGTACCACTCGGCCCCTCTCCAGCCAGCAGCCCGGGCGGCCCACTGAACCTCCCCTTTTGTCTTATTCCCTGAAAGTAGTAACATTCAGGCCCTTTTCAGCCCGCTTGCTTTGTGGCAAATCATAGTCTACATGGAATGACTTTTCGTTTTAAAACTGATTATCATTTTCTCCTGCTGTGACTCTAAGCCCCTAGGGGGAAAAAAAGTTAGAAAATACCACTTACAGCAGATAACGTTTTAATTTAAAAAAATTATATATTTTACCCTCTAGTTCATGCTAATAGACCTATTTTTGATTCATCGAAAATGTCATTATTCATCAGTAAAGAGCTATGGAATTTATAAGAACAAGAGAGAAGACAATCGTAAAGTGTCCAAGAAATTTATTTTTACTTTTTAAAATCTCAGAAATATATAAAGATTTCCCTTAATGGAGTTGAAAAAAAATTGAGATGTGTTTCATCTGAAGATAAAAGTGCAGATTTTGTTACTTTGCAAAAACATAAATAACATTTTATTAGTGTGATAAGAAAAATGTCCCTTTAGTAAATGTTAAAAGGCCCTTCGGGACCTCATAGTAAATTACTACTCAGTATTCATACACTGTTATGTTTAAATTTACATTTACATTTTCAAGAAGTTCCTTCTAGACCCAGAAGGTCTTTTAAGAGCCAACCTTGAGAATCGACAGCAGTCAGAACTAGTTCTCCCGGCTTCCCACGACGCACAGCCTCATGGCAGAATGCTCACAAAGGGAGGTCTGCCCTGCTTGTGTCCCACAACAATAATTTACTTCCAAGGCTGCCAACTGCTTAGGATGCTCTAAGACCAAGATAATTTACGGAGCATTTCATGAGATTAAGAGAAGGAAGAGGGAGAGACAATTATGGGATTGCAGCAACTGATTCTTCCCCAACTGAGCCTCCAAGCCCAACTGCAGACACGGAGGTTATTTTCCACGTCCACACAGGGAGCACTTCAGGCAAAGAATGAAGAGGGCAGAGGGGTCCGGACAGGTGCAGAGCACCAAGCCGCTGCTCTGCAACCTTGTGCAATCTGCCCGGGGCGGGGTTCCCATCGCATCGGGGCGTCCAAGGAGGAAGGGCTCCCAGCAGAGCCACCCCTCCGGTGCCGCCTCACCGGACACGGTAGGTATGGTAAAACCGAGATGCTGGATTCCACTGGACCACAACCCAACTTTCTTATTACAGACGATACCCTATCATAGTAAATGACAAACTTTCACAACAGTCCTTTTTTTTTCTCTTCAAACTGTTATTCGGGAGTAATATTACACCCCGAGAATGGAGTAGGGAGGGAATTTGCAGGGGGTGGGGATAGAGATAGGGAGGGAACCACAGTGCGTATTGTGAAGTTTTCCTCTACCAAAGAACACATTTTTTCCTCTACCAAAGAACACACGGAACCCCTTTAATCGGATTAGAGTTTTAAAGCAAAGCAGTTATTTTAACCAAATTCTGAAATGGCAACGTCTGGCTTTTCAGGAGCAGGGAATAATTCCTGATGGCTTTCGGAGATCAGCAGGGCTCTCCACCGATCCCAGACGCATGGTGGCAGCCAGCCAGCCGTGTGACTGGTGACTCAATACACAGGTTTCTGTGGTCTCCACCATCTGATACAGTAAGGGTATCAATTTTTAAGTTTGAGGACTAGATGGCGGCCGGGGGCTCCGGCAGAATAAAACAGAACTCCCTGGAGAAGGGACGCCGAGAAGCGAAACTCACACTCCATTTGTCTGCATTTCTTTAAGCTCAGCCTTGATTGTGTAAGTATTTTTTCCTTCGGAATGTATATCATCTTGATTACAGAATTTAAGATTATTTATTGTTTGATTCGGAAAATAATCCAGGCAACCATTAACAGAAATTTTAAAATGTTGTCCAGACATCAGTCAAAGTGGTAAGAACCCCACCTTCTTGTGATTCCAACTCCCAAAGCAATATTCCTGTTAAAGAAAGCCCAGGTCAAAAATCCTCCCCGGCACAGGCCGCACACACACCTAGGAGTGTTTCTGGCAGAACAGGATGTGCTAACATCCTCTATGTGGAAAGGGCTTAATGAAAACTAGAGACAGTGAAACAAAGAGAACCATCCAAAATGAAGGCTGCACACATCTTTGAAGAAACAATAGACATTACTTCTGCCGAGGCCCTGCCCTGACACCGGGAGAGCCACT